GGACCATTGTCTGAAATGATCTCTCCAGGGTTGGCAAATAAAATAAAAGTGAAGTATGCAATGGTTGTGCTTGACATTTGTGCAATTTATGAATTTTGAGGTGTGGTCATTTCCATAGATACAATAAAGGTCAGGTGTGATTTTGGACAAAGAATGGGCAGGGACTCTGCTTTCGGTGATCTTTGTGCTGACTTAGCATATGCTCCTAATGTGCCTCTTAATTTTTCACAAGGGATTTTGATGTTGTTACTGATATTTGGCTAATATAGACTCTCTTGAGTCGTCTTGTCTGAGTCATCTTGTCTGATATATGCCCATGTTTGAATAACAAAATTGTTGAATAGTATTAAGTCATGCTTACTATGGTATAATGACCTGCCTTCCTTTTAAAAAAAAATCACTCCTCACAAAATTTCTTACTCCTTCTGAAAAGGCCAAAATAGTCTCACATGTTCAAGTTCGATGTCAATGAGATCAATTTGCAGATCCAAGGATACATCTGCTTGCACTAAATTTGATTACTGTATCTGATGTAGCCATTAGCTTACCTGGCTTGTACCTCAGCCAGTTTCTTTCAAATCTCCTTAGCACTTACTGTTGTTTTGTTTCTTAAAAGCTTCCAGCTCATTTGAAGCTTCCGGTTTTACACCCCGGATTCTTCTAATTATATCAAAGCCTTCTGTTGGTCCAGTATATTTTTCTCCTTCAAAATCTGCTCTAACAACTGTCCAGCCTTCAACATTTCTCCCCCCTCTCTTTTTCTTTGAAACCTGGATCTTGCTTATTATTGCTTCAATGGTTCTTTGTTTTCTTTTATGGCCTGATTGAGTTCGTTTCAGAGAACATCACTGCCAGTATCTGTTGCTTTGCTGTAATGTCTGCTTACCTGCAAGCTATATTTTCAGCACTCTCCAACACTGTAACAACAAAAATATTGAGGGTTATTATTGACTTTGTTATTAAGCCTGCCGATAAGGGTGGTGCTGTTGTAGTCTGGCATACTGACCTCTACATTGCAGAGGCTGAGCGCCAGCTCTCAGATACCTCCTCCTATCTTCCCCTGGACCATGACCCCACCATGACGCATCAGGCCATTGTATCTACTGCAGTAACGGATCTCATTTCATCCGGTGACCTCCCCCCCACTGCTTCCAACTCATTTCTACTTCCTCCCAAAGATCCACAAACAGGACTGTCCGGCCAGACCCATTGTTTCAGCCTGCTCCTGCCCCACAGAACTCATCTCTTCCTACCTTGACTCAGTCTTCTCTCCCCGGTCCAGTCCCTGCCCACGTACATCTGTGATTCCTCTGACACTTTACACCGAATTCAAAACTTCCAGTTTGCAGGTTCCAGTTGCCTCCTCTTTCCCATGGATGTGCAATCCCTTTACACGTCCATTCCCCATCAGGAGGGTCTTAGGGCTCTCTGCTTCTTCCTGGAGCAAAGACCTGAACCATCACCACTCACCACCATCCTCCTCTGCTTGGCTGAGCTCATCCTCACCCTCAACAATTTCTCTTTTAATTCCTCATTTTCTTCAGGTCAGAGGAATGGCCATGGGTGCCCTCATGGGCCCCAGTTATGCCTGTCTCTTCGTGGGTACGTAGAACATTCCTTATTCCAGGCCTATTCCGGCCCCCATCCATAACTTGTTCTCCGATACATCGATGATATCATCGGTGCTCTTCCATCTCCCGTCGGAATTGGAAAAGTTCATCAATTTCGCTTCCAATTTCCACCCTGCTCTCACTTTCACCTGGTCTATCTCAGAGTTCTCCCTTCCCTTCCTAAACATCTGTTTCCATTTCTGGGGATAGACTGGCCACTAATAACCACTATAAACCCACTGACTCCCACAGCTACCTGGTCTACACATCCTCAAATCCTGCTTCCTGTAAAGACTCCATCCCATTCTCTCAGTTCCTCTGTCTCCGTCGCACATAGGGGCAGCACTGTGGCACAGTGGTTAGCACTGCTGCCTCACAGCACCAGGGACCTGGGTTCGATTCTAGCCTCAAGCGACTGTCTGTGTGGAGTTTGCACGTTCTCCCCGTGTCTGCGTGGGTTTCCTCCGGGTGCTCCGGTTTCCTCCCACAGTCCAAAGATGTGCAGGTTAGGTGGATTGGCCATGCTAAATTGCCCGTAGTGTTCAGGGAGGTGCAGATGAGGTGGGTTATAGGGGGATGGGTCTGGGTGGGATGCTCTGAGGTTTGGTGTGGACTTGTTGGGCCGAAGGGCCTGTTTCCACACTATAGGGGTTCTATAATATACTCAGATGAGACCAGCTTCAACAAGGGAGACTCCATAATGTCCACTTTCTTCCTCAATCGAGGATTCCCCAGTTCCGTTGTCGACAGGGCCCTCAACCGGATCCGACACATCTCCCACACTTCCACCCTCACCCCTTCCCTTCTCTTCCCTCCCACAACAGCAATAGAGTTCCCCTTGCACTTACTTACCATCCCACCAGCATTCACATCCAGAAGATAATCAGATGCCATTTCCGCCACCTCCAGCAAGACGCCACCGTCAGACACATATTCCCCTCCTCTCCTTTGTCCGCCTTCCGCAGGGACTGTTCCCTCCGGGACACCCTGGTCCACTCTTCCTTCACCCACAACCCCACGTCACCTTCCTCTGCCACCAGCGAAAGTGCAACGCCTGCCCATTTACCTCCTCCCTCTCCACTATCCAAGAGTCCAACCATACCTTCCAGGTGAAGCAACACTTCACCTGCACTTCACACAATCTAGTCTAAGATAACAAGGTGTAGAGCTGGATGAACACAGCAGGCCAAGCAGCATCAGAGGAGCAGGAAAGCTGACGTTTCGGGCCTCGACCCTTCTTCAGAAATGCAATCTAGTCTACTGCATCCGCTGCTCACAATATGGTCTCCTCTACATTGGAAAAACAAAGCATAGACTGGGTGACTGCTTCGCAGAACACCTGCGTTCTGTCTGCAAAAAAAACCCTGAGCTACCAGTTGCCTGGCACTTTAACGCACCACCCTGTTCCCTGGCCAACATCTCTGTCTCTGGCTTGCTGCAGTGTTCTAGTGAAGCTCAACGCAAGCTGGAAGAACAACACCTCATTTTCCGCTTGGGGACCCTGCAGCCCTCCTGACTCAATATCAAGTTCAATAATTTTAGGGCCTAAACTCTCCGGTGTCCCAGCCCCTAACCCCACACACCTTGTTACCACATAGCCTACCATTACATACTACCTATTGTTAGTCACTAACAGTCCCCATTAACAACTATTCACCCTCCCAGCCAGATCGTTATCAACTCCTTTGTCTATCCAAGTCCTCTTCTCTCTCTTTAGGCTCTATCCTATTGTTTATTCCCTACCCCACCCCCTCCCTATTTTCTGCATATAAGCTGACATTTTCCCAGCCACCATTAGTTCTGCGGAAGGGTCACCGGACCCGAAACGTTAACTCTGATTTTTTTTCCACATATGCTGCCAGACCTGCTGAACTTTTCCAGCAACCTCTATTTAAAGCATCCGCAGTTCTTGCGGTTTTTATGTTGAGGGTTGTCCCATTCAATTTAGCACGATTTTAGACTGCTGACCATGTGATTCAACTACAGAGTTACTTGTTCAAGCATGATCGACTCAAACAAGATGTTTTCCATTGCTGTTCACCATGCGATGATGATAATTCGTGAGATAGTTTATTTAAAACAGTAAAACATATTACAAATTACGGAGCAGACATAATAGCAAAGCAATAGATTTCTGTCAGTGCACTGGCAGGTAGAGCGACAACACTGGAGGCAAACTGTGAAGTCCTTAAAAGTCGGACTCCCTTAAAGGCAATGTTAGAAATCACAGGACACCGGGTTATAGCCCGAAAGGTTTATTTGATAACACAAGGGAGCGTAGCCCCTTCATACGTGAAGTGAAAGAGTTTCACTTCGTCATTTCTCCTGACGAAGGGTTTACGCTCCAAAAGCTTGCGTTTTCAAATAAACCTGTCAGGCTGTAACCTGGTGTCGTGTGATTTCTGACCTTATCCACCTGTCCAACACCGGCACCTCCACACAAAGGCACTGTTCACATAAAACAGATGGGACGTCAGTTTAACACCTCATCTAAAACACAGCATCTCTGACAGTATAACGCCTCCTGAGCACTACACAAGGACGTCAAACTTCAACCACAATCTTGTGACTCAGATGAACGTGCTATCAACAAAGTCACAGAATGGTGCAATAGTCGTGACATATATTCTGCGAAGTCAGCGTAATTAAACAGAATAACTTGTCTTGGAGGGGCATCAGGGAGAAGGCAATATAAACTGGACCAAAAACAGAAAGTGCTGGAGAAACTTAGCAAGTCTAGCAGCATCTGTGGAGAGAAACACAGAGTTAACGTTTCGGGTCCAGTAACCCTTCGTCAGAACTTTGTTTTTGTTTCAGATTTCCAGCATCCGCAGTTCTTTGTTTTGACTTTGAATAAAATCAGGCAATTCTGGTAACACACAGCAGATGGGGAAGCTTACGTGCAGAGAGAGAGAAACAGTGAAAGTTTCAGGTCTATGAACCTTCGTCAGACAAGAGAAACTTCAGCTTGGCCACAGGCACCTTTTTTTTAATCCGTAGGCGCGAATCGAAATTCCTTCCACGTTACAGGAAGGTGCTTTATGCATGTAGAAGGCTCTAATTATAGACAAACAAACAAACCAACAAAAAAATTTAACTGCAGATGCTGGTGGTGGGGGTGGAATCAGAAGCACAAACAGAATTTGCTGGAGAAACTCGGCATCTCTGGAGAGAGGCACAGAGTTAACGTTTCGGGTCTTCTTCAGAACTGATGAGAGACCATTGGGAGCAAACCAGATTCTCTGAAATCAGTGGAAGGACTCACTGTTTAAAGACGGCTGGAGTGGATTACACAAGGTTAGCAAGAGTCGTGTCCACTCCAGCAGGCAGGGTTTATAAATCACTCGGAAGAACGGCAGGTGCTGGAGTCAGAGTTAACACGGTGTGGAGCTGGAGGAACACAGCAGGCCAGGCAGCACCAGGGAAGCAGGAAAGTCGACGTCGCGGGCTGGGACCCTTCTTCAGAAAGTTGTCGTTGTGCAACCTGCAGAGAGCCCCTGGAGCTGACCCTCGGGGCGGCTCCTGATTGGCTGACGTTGACCCCGTGCTGACCCATGCACCTCCTCTCCATAGATACCGAGTCCTACCGACCGGCCGCCATTTTGAAGCTAGCGGCGGTGACCGGATCTTTGCGGCCGGAGGCGGCGGTTGCTGCTGCTGGACAACGGGAGGAGAAACTAAGGTGAAGCCGGCGGACGGAGCCCCGAGTCTTGGGCTTGTTCGAGCGCCTTAAACTTTCTTCGCGCTCCGTCTGTCCGGCCGCGGTGCTTCTGAACCCACTTCGCCGGGATGAGTGACTCGGAGAACAGGACGGACGGCATCGAGCCGAAGAAGGAGGGCGGCAGCGTGCTCAACAGGATGAAGAGCAGGAAAAACCCGGAGCCCGAGGGCCTGACCCCCATCACCGAGGCCGAGCTGCTGCAGCAGGACTCCATCAACCCTCTCGATGTGCTGTGTCTGCAGAGCGCCACCGAGAGTAAGCGGCTGCTTCTCCCTCACGGATAGCTGGGTTGGGTGGCTGGCTGCCTGGGGTGGTATATCGGTATTCGGTCCATCGACCTGACCGATTAGGCCTTAAACTTGATGTTCCCTTCAGAATCTGCAAGAAAGGGGAAGTAGGTTAATATAGTTGTAGACACCCTTGCCGTGTACTTGATTACTCGCTTTAATTAGCTTACTCCTATCCATTGGTATCCTACTTAATCTATTCAGCTCTGATTCCTTGGCGCAGCGGGATACTTGTGATGGGGGAAAAATTCCTCGGGAGCTATCCCACCTTGGTGCCTACTCCAGTTTTTTTTAGTTGAACCTCGAAATCGGACAATTTGTTTAACTGCAAACCCCAGTCATGGATGCATGTAAGATTTAGTAAATGCTTGGTTTGGTGTGGAAGACAGGTGAACTCTTTAAAAGTTCGATAACTGAGCTTAAGATCATTGCAGATTTGCTCTGCATTTGCGAGTATGGATATTAATATTTACAGAGGAGACTGATATTAGTCCATGCCAATTCTTCAGAGTAACTTCAGTGTATTGTTTTGACGTAATTTTAAAGTTTGCAATACAGCACTGTGATAATTAACTTGCCAAATTAGTGAAATTTGTGTTTAGTGCATTAGTTAGGCAGTAATTTGTGAATTTAAAGTCTGAATGAAAGAGGAATGATGATAAGATTGAAGTTTCATGGTTTCCCTTGCTATCACATCCCTACGAGGCAGAACAATTTTTTCTGTTAATTTGTGGGAGATGAACATTGTTTCCTGTGCCAGCATTTATTGCCTGTCTCTTGTTACTCTTGCGAAGGTGATGGTGAGCTGCTGCCTTGAACTGCTGCTGTCCATTTGCTTTAGGTAGACCCATAATGCTGTTAGGGAGGGATCTATCAGCACTGATGAAATGGTCATGTCTTTGCAAGGCAGGATGGTGAGTGACTCGGAGGGGAACTTGCAGCTGGTGGTGTTCCCAGGTATTTGTTAACCATGTCATTGTAGATGGCAGTGGTCTATGGTTTGCAAGATGCTGATTGAGGAGACTTTGTGAATTCCTGCAGTGCATCTTGTAGATCGTCCATCAAGGTGCTATTAAGCCTCAGTAGTGGAGGGAGTGAATATTTGCAGATGTGCCAATCAAGTGAGCCCCTTTGTCTTGAATGATGTCAAGCTTCTTGAGCATTGTTGGAGCTGCACTCATCCAGGCAATTGAAAGCATTCCATCACACTCTTGACTTGTGCCTTGTAAATGGTGCACAGGCTTTGAGGAGTCAGTAGATGAGTTACCTGCTGCATGATTCCTAGCTTCTGACTTGTTCTTACAACTACAGTATTTGTATGCAACAAAATCAGAAATGGCTGGAAAAACTCAGCAGGTCTGACAACATTTGTGGAGAGAAAGTGGAGTTAACATTTGGCTCCGTGACCTTTCTTCAGAACTGATTTATAGCCAGGAAGAGGCTGATATATTTGCTGGAGAAGGAGTGGGGTGTGGGTGAAGGAGAAAGACAATGCAGTAAACTTTCTCCCATGTCCTTACCCCAATCCCCACGCACCAGGCCTGTCATCACATGGGCTGCTACCAAAAACAAGTGTCAACCAATAACAGGCCCCATTAGTAGCTATTCATTCTCCCAGGCTGATCTATACGTCAGACCTTTGCCTACCCAGCTGTTTTCCTCTCTGTCTGGGCTCCATATGCACTTATTGTTTACTCCGTTCCCCTCCTCCACCCCTTCTCAATCATATATACCAACCTTTTCCTTAAATGTTAACTCTGCTTTCTCTCTACAGATCCTACCAGACCTGTTGAGATTTTCCAGCATCCACCGTTTGTTGTGTTACAGTGTTTATTATGTTATTTCAGTTCAGTTTCTAGTCAATGGTCATCTGTAGGCTGTTTGAATTGGGGCATTCAATGATGATCAGACCACTAAATGTTAATATGTAATGGTTAGATTCTCTCTTTTTGGAGTTGGTCATTGCCTGAAGCTTGCCTTGTGCAAATGTTACTTTCAAGCCCAAGCCTGGATATTGGACATAGACTGCTTCACTATCTGAGGAGTTGTGAATGGTATAAACATTGTATGATCATCAGCAAATATCCCCATTTCTGACCTTATGATGTAGGGAAGGTCATTAATGAAGCAGCTGGAGATAAGGCACTACATTGAAGTCATGAAGGCTCTTGTGCGGTGATAATATCTCCTACCTCTGAGCCAGGAGGCCCAGGTTCAAATCCTATCTGCTCCAGAGGTGAGTCGTAACATATCTGAACAGGTGATGAAAAAAACATACTCGGAGGAACTTCTGCGGAAATGTTTTGGAGCTAACCTGACTGACCTTAGCAACTATAATTGTCCTTCTTTGTGCCAGGTATTTCTCCAACAAGTGGAGAATTTTCGCCCTTATTCACATAGATTCCAGATTTAGTAGAACTTCTTGATGTCATACTGTATTTAGATGTGGCCTTGATGTCAAGGGCAATCACTGTCTCTTACACAGGTGTTAATCGAATCATGGTTTGGTTACAGCTTTGGAGATGGCTACTCTGCCTGTTGTGACCATGCTAGCCCTTCACAAGAGTAATGTAGCTGGTCTCATTACTGTGTTTTTTCTCTGTATGTTTGCAGTTTCTTTTTTAAGGTATTTAATCAGTTTACCTTCGAAAGTCAAGATTGACTTTGCACTGGAGGCAATCCAGATCCGAATAGTCTCATGCTACTGTTAGCTATTTTGTTTTTCACCGTAATCAGTATCCTCTGATTCTAGATTTTTCACCCAATTGTTGCAGTTTCTCTCTATTATTTGTGTCTCGGCACTCATTAATTTGAACACTTCTAATAGTTCTTCTCTCAACTTCTCTACTCTTAGGACAGCAACCCCAAGTTTCTCCAATCTATCCACATAACGGAAATCCCTTGTCCCTGGAACCATTCTCATAAATTTTATATGGTAATGTATCATTGTCCATGGAGGATCATAGGTATCTTTCTTTGGAGATTCAAATAGTTGTATACGTTGAGACACAACACTTGACATCCAGCATGGGGCATGGCAAAGAGGCAAGCCTCTATGAAGACTGCCATTGAGCCTGTGCCATGCTCTAGCCAACTGACCTCCCACAAACTTTCTAAAACCTTCACGTGCTTCCTGATGTGTGGTACTCAGAATTGGACACAGTACTGCAATTGGCAGAATCAGTGTGTTATAACTTCCTTTTACTCCAGCCATCTAGTTATAAAACTCAGGATCCTGTATGCCTTTTTAACCCACTTTCTTATCCTCCCATGCTACTTTCCACAATTTGTGTGCATTTACTCCCAGGACGCACTGTTCTTGTATGACCTACAATTGTAACTTTTATTGCCATCTCTTGTTCTTCCTGCTAAAATACATCCATTTTCTGTATAAAATTCAATCTATGTGCCAGCCTATTCATCTAGCCTATCAAGGTCCTCGAAATCTTGTTATATCTGACACAATCTTTCATGGTTCATGGTACTCAAGTTCTGTGACATCTGCAAATTTTGAAATTGTGCTCCATCCACCCAAGTTGAGGTTATTAATTTGCATCAAGGAAAGTTGTCCCAGAGCCAATCCCTGGGAAGCCTCAAAATATGTTTTCCTCGAGTCTAATTTCCTATTTCCTATCATTGCTGTTGGTAGTATCACAGCCACCACAGAAGCAACCGTTCCAACAATATTGAGCAATGTACGGTTTGATAAAAATACAGCCCCCTTATCTCCTATCTTGCCAGCTCCCTCAAAACAGGATAACATCACCAGTGGTGACATTCTCTTGGATATGTTTACTGATCATTCTGTTTCCTGTCATGTTAAACAAGGGTGTAACATTTTCAATTCTGCAGTCCTCTGACACCATTCTCGTTTCGGTACCGTATACATAACGTGGCAGATATGGCAAAAGAAAGCCCCATTCTTTGTATGTAATGCTGATGTAAGCAATGAATATTTGTGCAAAAGCAAAGCTGACACAGCATGCGCAAAAAGACGATGGATCGTCATGTTGCATGAACAGCTGTGTTTAGTGCTGTTTCCTTTGGCTCATGCATCTTGGAAGAGGCAGTGAAGTTCTTTATGATTTAACTAGTGCAAATTTTCTTACCCTTTTATGAAATCTGCATACCGTTATTATTAATTTGGTCGATGGTTCAATGTCAAAAGTTTGATTCAGAGCCAACAAATGGGTATTGCAACTGATTTCAACATCAATCAGTTAACTAAACACAAGCCAGCAATTGAACCATGGGACCTCCCCAATCCGAATGTCATTCTGTATCACACCAGGAAGTATATTTAACCACTGATTCAGTATATAAGAAAGCTGCAATATGCGTTAAAAAAACTCAGAGCTGACTCAGTGGTTAAACAGTGGCAGTGGTATAGGAATGTACTTGCAGGTAAAGTTTAGAGAGAAAATGTTCCATTTGTGTGCTCAAATATGTTTTTAAAAAAAGGCAAAAAATTACTGCTTACCTTAGACTGTCATTGTCAGTTCATTTTAAAAGTAAGGCGAAGGGGCAAAATGATCATTGGTTCTTTCCAAATATGAAAAATCAATGAAATTAAAGTCAGGGCTTAACCTTTTAAAAATTGATTTTTGTATCCGTCATTGTGAATGTTGCCTATTGTAAAAATGCAGTCAATGAGTACAGAGCTTGGCAATTTTTAAGGTTATGGTTATCTGTTGTAGTGCTATTTATATTTGCATGTTTGAAAGGAACCAATGATCCTTTTGCAATTTGTTATTTTTGAGACAAGCACAGACAAAACAGGTGAAAATACTTGGAATTAATGGCACAAAAACAGAAATTGCTGGAGAAACTCAGCAGGTCTGACAGAAGAAAACAGAATTAACATTTTGAGTTCAATGACTTCATCCGAATGGAATTACTGGGTTACCTTAGGATAGAGTGGGCATGCTGGGCTTGCTTCCAAAAGAGTTTACAGGAACAGCGGTGACT